CCCAACCCAAGACATAAAACCCTTTCTTACTCTTCAACAAATGCGCGTACTCATCATAAACCAGAAAGGCAGAAACTATTACGGAAGGTCGACATCTGTAGTTTAGTTTTTAATTTGTTGAATTCTTCAAATAGTTATAAACATTACATCTCGCCAGAAGTCACTCCGAAAATTACAATTATATTTAAGGTTTAATCTATCCTAATTAATTAATCCATCAGATATATTTATCACACTTTATCTTTAAATATACTAACTTTCTACAAATATATAGCCCTAAACTTGATCGATAATGTCGAAAATGTTACTAACACAATCTCTCAAAATTGGAGAATAGAAAGTCGGTATCAAAGAAGTTAAGAGCTAACTATATAACATGTTTAAATTGCTCTCAGAATATCTCAATGCTAAAATAGGAAACTCCACATATCCTATCAAAAATTTGATGTTCTTTGCATGGTTACTTTAAAAGGAAATTAAATATGGGGATAAAAGAGTAGTTGACATCTCAAAAATTTGATAAGTTTTGTTTCTCTTAGCACATGGTCTTTGTCACTTCAATTTCATCGCTCGTTAAAAGTGAAAGCACGTACCACATGATATGCCACCACATGCTTCCACGTGCATTTGTTGTAATGGCAATATCAACCATTAAACAATTAATTTAATATTTATGCACTCACAAGGTTAAAATATAATAGGCTAAAACCCAAATTGATAATGTCAAAGAATTTTTATACTATACACTAATAATGTGCATGCCTTAGATTCTTAAGTAAGTCTCTCATGGTAAATTTTTCTAGGTTTAAAATTTTATTTTGGTACAGTATATGGAAGTATAACCTAGCTAATGTTATGGTTATTTAATTCTAATGCAACTTTTCATTATCAATATTTAGCATAAGAAAAAATAAGGCAACCCTGATATTGTTTTAAACTTAATCAACTTAGACACTCTCGTAAGTGAACAATTTCAATCGTTTTAATCTAATTAGGGAAGTACTCTCTTATTTTCTCGTGACGTATGAAATAAAAGGTTCCGATTTTGTGACGTCCATAATGGAGGACGGGCCGATGAGGGCAGATCAAACAATACTAGTAGACTTTTATGTTGGCAAGCTTTTGAAGAAGGGGTACACATGTCATCGTAGGCAAATCTCACGTCGGAATAAGAGAGGAAAGTGAAGAGATTTATAAGGCGTGACACAATTTCACATAGTATGCGCGTTTTTGAAGCTCAATGTAGCATAGCTCGAAAGATAAATCCGTGTGATAAATCCAAGGTGCTTTTGTCAACATCAAAATGAAAGAGAACGAATAGAATTGGTTCATTTCTTTGCAACTGAAAGCCCTAACAAAATTATAAATATTTGGTGCTTCAAACAACTAACTTTCCATAATAGGAGAGTGTTTTGAAAGAAGTTGAAACATGACAACTCAAGCTTATTCAAAAACATTAATGTGCAAGTGGGAAATGACTCATGTGATGAAATACCCAATGCTTTTCAAATTTATAATTTCCTTTATATATATAAGTCAAGAACTTGTATAAATTGTGTTGTTTTTGGCAAGCTAATCCATAAGTCGGGAAGAATTGTACGTCTTAAAATTTAAAAAGGAATAAAGATCAACTAATTAGGAACAATTTTCCATTTATGGAAAATAAAAAGCAACTAAGTCCAAACTTTATCTTTTATTTGGAAAAGAATCATTCCGTATCAAGGTTGATTGGAAACTAAAGATTGTTTTAAGAAATAGTGTATATGTTAAAGCTTAAGACAAATTAGTCAGGATCACAAATTAAGGGGTCATTGTCAAATTTCAATTTTCACATATTAGTCCGGAAAGAGAAATTTTGAGAAATTGTGAGAGTAAATTAAGGTTAATTCGGATTTGTACAAGTTAATTTATGTTCAAAAAATTCCTAACTTCAACCTAATTATCTATTGGAAAAATAACACTGTATAGCCGTTGTAAAAATAATAGCCGAAAAAATGTATAAAATTTATATATATATATATATATATATATATATATATTATATATATATATATTCTGTATGTTATATACAAAAATTATTATAAATTTTATATATTTTTTCGGCTACCAAATAGAAATAATTTCTCCCGCGGACTAAAAGTGATAATACGCCCTATGTAAAGAAATTTTAAAACATAGACAAAACATAAGGCGTGCCATTAAATATTTATGCAATAAATTTATAACAAACCTAGTTTTATATAAACACGTGGGAGAATAGGTGAGTTGTGGTAGGGGAAATTAGGCATGTGAGCAACATGTTCCACATGGCTAGATCACATACAGAGTGTTCAGTTTGCTCTTGACTTAGCTTGTGTAGCAACCCCAATATAATGTTTTTGTTGGATTTTTCAAATTATAAATAGCTTTTTGAGATCATTATTCCCTAGTCTTTCTAGCTCTACTTGTTTTTCGGTGCAAGTAATTGCTGCCATCCACCACCATAAGCTAAGTAATTCCCCCACATTGTAAAAACTTTGGGAAAAAGTCTTAATTTCTTCTTCAATTTATAGGCAATATGAAGACATAAGAATTGAAAAGTAGAAAGGAAAACAATAGGCATAAAGATGAAGCACAGAATTGGCCTTCAACTTTTCCCTCTATTGTCTTCTTCTTCTTCTTCAGAGTTGCGCAGTAGTGATCATTCTGTGTAAGTCTCATAATTCCATCATATATATATATATAGAGAGTTTACCGAGGAGTGTTACGTATACCCACATAATACGTGTGAGTTCAATTTTCACTGTCCCTGTTAGTTCTCCCTTACTATTTTTTACTCCCCAAATTTAATTAAATTAATAGAATTAAAGACAAGATTGTGCTCTATAATCTTTTCAAACAAGTTCTTCATTATATACTTTTTTTCAAATATATATTAAGAGAACTTATGATATGTTATAAAACATATTTTTTAAGTAAATGATATATTGCTTTTTCATCATCATTTAAATGAAAATATTGGGTGGTAGTTGTAGAACACTAATATCTTCGACAAATGAATTTTGGTACCATATATTATACATATATATAGATGTTTCCATGCATGACGATCTATTTGTTAACGTAGGGCATGTTCGTCCACAAGAAAGCAGATCACAATTTTCTACAACGCACAAGATGGGGAATGTGATACATCTGAACTTCAGGCAAGCTATTTTTGATCTTTATTAATTAGTCATTACAGTATTTCGAAGGGAGCCTTGGCGTAACTGGTAAAGTTATCTCCATGTGATCAAGAGGTCACGGGTTCGAGCCGTGAAAACTGCCTCTTGCAAAAATGCAGGGTAAGGCTGCGTACGATAGACCCTTGTGGTCCGGCCCTTCTCCGGACCCCGTCCATAGCGGGAGCTTAAGTGCACCGTAACTCTTGTAAAAAAATGACTTCTTCTACTGATGAAATAAGTTCGAAGAGAATCGCGCATATCTTGCTTTCTGATGTTGTTTTTTTATATTAGTAATTCTAAATTTGTTCTGATGCTTAATTCGATTTGTTATTGGATTTCCTGAAGTATAGGCCTTAGCCATCTTATGGCATGCAAGACGTGAAATGGAAGAAAAATATAATACGAGTGCGTCAAATTTGAGAGCACCATCTCTGCAGTTTCAATTGCATAGCCCTTATAATGGGCTGTCCCTAAGAAAATCCCTACAGAGGTTTCTGCAAAAGAGAAGAGAAAGGAGGATTCAAGCAGCTAATCCATACTAAAAGAAATGATGATGATCATAGGCGAATTCAGAATTGAGAATTTAGTGATCTAGAATGTGTATGATTTTGCGATATGCGGATACTTCAATTTTATTTCTGCATATGTATCTGCATTTCAAACCAAAAACAGGGATTTCAGTTGATGATGCTGATTCCTGATTATCGAAATTTCATCCTAATTACTATCAAAATTTCATCAATATGGAGTGGAAGGTTGGATCACCTGTATACTCGTTTAATCTATCATTCTCTATTATCTGAATTGACTGTGCGGTAATTGGTATTTTAAAATAAAATTTTCACCGTATTTTTTATTAAAAAAAGGTAAAATCTTTTCTGAGTAATGTTGCGATCGACATAACCAAGTGTCATGCAAAAAGTTAACAAAACAAACTTTGAATGATGATAAATAAGTCAACAAAGAAAAATATAGTAAAAGAGACACACTAGCTTAATACGGTTTGGTAAAATTGAATTATGTTATACTCAAAGAGTTACTCCGTTGTTGTAGCATCGTTAGTTGTTTCCTCTTCAGAATTACTAATTTTTTTACTCTTGAGAAAATTGACAAGACCTGAAAGACAAACATCAGCATCTTCACTTTTCATAAGTTCCTCAGCAACCTCAGCAGGGCTAACTTGAACACTTTCAATCAACTCTTGAATTTCTTGAAAACACACGTAATTATTCAAATCATAAATTTCCAAATAATTAGCTGCCAACACCTTAAAACTTTCAATTGTCAGGTAAGACATGTGAATATGCACGTCCATTCGTCCAGGTCGCAACAGAGCTGGATCAAGCTTCTCCTTGTGATTCGTCGTAAATATAATAACCCTCTAATCTCCAATACTCGACCATAGCCCGTCTATAAAGTTTAGTAATCCACCGAGTGTAAGCCTATCTTGATCTCGTGAACGAGAATGACCATATACTGCGCGATTTTTAGTTCTATCTGGCAAATCAATGCTACAATCAATGTCTTCAATGACAAGTATAGACCTATTTTTGGTGCTCATCAACAACCTTCTCAAATCCGCGTCGCTCGTTATGTTAGAAAACTCTAAATCATAAACGTCAAACTTTAGATAATTAGCAATTGCTGCAATCAAACTTGATTTCCCTGTTCCTGGCGGTCCATATAATAAGTATCCTCTTTTCCAAGCTTTTCCTACTCTCCTATAAAAATCTTTCCTCTTTAAAAACCTATCAAGATCCTCAATTATGGTTCTAATGCTAGTGTATCAAAAGTTGAAGGATGCTCAAGATTGACTGAATCCCAAAGTTTGGAATTATAAGTATGACCATTGGCTAGAGAATGCAACTTAACAACTTTTTTCTCATGAGACATGTCTTTGGCTTTGTTGAGTACAAAAGGGATGTAACGATTCATGATTTTGTCCTTGTACTGCTTGTTAAAGCTTAGCTCAAAGTAACGTTTCTCGTTAGCAAACATACCAGTATCATAATCATCTTTTGTAATAGTCTTTTTCTCAGCATTGTGAACAAATCTCCAAACCAATTCCATCCCGTCAAAGGAATCAGTAATTTTCCCACAATTGGCGAATTTAACGTTCACTTTCGGGTCTTTAGGCCTTTTGCTAACGTTGAAATTCGGGGCTGGTTTTGGCTGACAAGTAGATTTCAGCAGCGGCATAGACTTCGTTAGTAACAAAGCCTTCTTTTTCTTCAATAGCAAGAGTTATGTTTGATGAATGAGGACGAAAATAAGTAAGGATTTTGGAGATAATGTAGTTCTGGATTTGAAGAGGAATAACTTGATTCAGAATTGTCTTAAAAAGGGTGATTGTAGCAGACAATGAGGCATAGGCCTGGAATATTTGACGAGACTGAAGGCATTCTCATCATCTTTTACACAAACCTTCAGAACTTCGTAATACTTGGACGAGCCCTGCTATATGAACTATTTGTACTGAGTACTTTTGTTTTTTTAGCTACGATTCCTACTGCAAAAGGGAGTGAATTTTCCTTTTTTACACAAGGAAAGAGAAATTTTCCTTTTTAGAACTTGTCACAATTTTATTTCCTCTCAATTTTTCTTAAATACTAGTCTTAGCGTACGCGCTTTATGCATGTACCTATATTAATAATACACAATTTTTAAAAATTACATACATGTTACTAGATAATTTATTTGAGTTATAAAATATAATTTAAGATTTTTTTAAATATAATAAATATTATTCCCATTTAGTTAGCTTAATATATGAAGGAATTTTATTTAGATGCCTTATTGTTATTTTGTCCGGATTTATGTCGAAACTAATGAAAATTGTTAATATTTACAATACTTTAAAGATTTATCAAATAACTCAAATTAAAAATTAAATCTCTTGGTCTCTTAAAACTTTGCGAATGAAAAAAGTTGGTATTATACCTTTTAAGAATTTGATGGCGACAATGTAAAGTTTAAAGAATGAGTAATATTGAACTAATATTTTACAGGAAAAAACTTCTGACTCTATCCAAGTATTAAAACTTCTTGAAAATGGCAATTCTACATTTGACTCTATTCTCCATAATTGCAGGTGGTTGCTGTCCATGAAGGAGAAGGATCTAGTGGTCCGGCATAGCTTCAGGGAAGGAAATGGAGTAGCAGATCTACTAGCTAAGGAAGCTACCAGGCAGACTACCATCAATAAGCTAGTTTGTTTTGTTATGCCTCCTCCGTTTGTCGTGGCCAGGATGCTGGCGGACAGGAATAGTGGTTTTAGTAAGAAATCAGTGCTTGAAAGCACTTGTAGAACTTTAGCTAGTTTTGGAAATTAAAATGCCATAGATGGCATTAATGCTATGTGTAATGATCCATTGGATCCTTGTACCAATGTTTCCTAGTATTAAATAAAAGTATCTCTTGTTCAAAAAAAAAAAAAACTTAGTATAAAAATTGTAGCGAAACGTTTTCATTTGTTAGACCGAAGGCAAGAAAGAAACAAATGACAACTCATTTATTTGGTTGCCTTCTACAATTTTACCTTATTGCTTAAAATTTATATTTTTTTCCACCGATTTGAATCTTTATTTTTTACTATAATTAATTTTGCTATATTTCATGATTTCTTTCACCGTCAATATTCTTCTTACAAAAATAAAATTTATATACTTCAAGTGTTTTGTCAATTTAACAAAAAAATATGATAAATTTGTAAAATAATTGAATTGGATTCATTTACTAATTAATTAAAACGACTTAATTATTTGTTCTCAACATTAAAAGAAATAACTTTATTTTTATTAATTCAGATTTTGAATATTTGCACATTCTATTTTCTATATATTTGAGAATAATTATAATTTTTCCAATAAGAATTCGATTTACAAATAGTAAGAAAAAACATATGCTTTGAATCTTTATGTTTTCAGAATTCGTTGCGCGCTGGACTCCTACAGAATTTTGCGAACTCGCGTTTTACATAATAAAGAATCTTATAAGAATAGTTCAATACAACTCTAATATTAGTGGGCTTTAAATAAGGAAAATTTAAATAATAGAATTTTAGTTGATTTTAAAGTCCTAAAATTAGAAAAATAATTAAACGACTATTTTATATAGTATAAAATCTATTTTTAAAGGGAAAAATTGGCGAACGATATTTCGCTAAGGATTTTTATGTTGATAGGTAGATAAAGATTTTAGTGCTCTAATGAGATGTACATGTCACGACCCAAACTACCATGTCGTGATGGCGCCTATCGTGGTACTAGGCAAGCCGACTCTTTACTAAAAATAACACGATATTTCATTTTCAAAGATAAATTCACGCTATTTAATAATAAAATTTCATAAAGAAAATCTGAATAACAAAAGTGCAGAAAGAAAAGTCCGACATCAGGGTGTCACTAGTCATGAGCATCTATTAAAAACTGTCTGATAATACTGAGACTAACACAGTCTGGAAATGTAACTACAAAACATCTACAGGAAGATATGAGGGAGAAGAGCAGGGCTGCGATCGCCAGCAGCTACCTTGCTAGCTCCGAGAAGATCTACAACTGGAATAGTCAACAGCCGCTACCGGGTCCTGATACACCTGGATCTGCACACAAGGTGCAGGGAGTAACGTGAGTACGCCAACTCAGTAAGTAACCAAAGTAAATAAAGGCTGAGAAGTAGTGACGAGCAATAAAGCATATAAAGTTCATATAATGAAATCTCAGTAAAAATACAATAGGCTTTTAAAAGCAGAGTGTGAAACAAATCATTTCGTTTAAACTCAGTTTCAGAAAAATCATTTGAAGATATTTTCAACAGCTCTCAAACAGAGGCTCGGTACAACAGTGGGCAAAAATGATGAAATCATAAACAGCCCCTCGAGCACGTACAACCCCTCGGGCAAACCTCACAGTCACTCATATACAACCCCTCGGGCATACCTCACCATCACTCACACTCAGGGTACCCGCGCTCACTGGGGGTGTGCAGACTCCGGAGGGGCTCCTTCAGCCCAAGCGCTATAACAAGCCACCTCGTGGCATAAATCAATCAGGCCCTCGGCCTTACTCAATCATGAATCAGTAACAACATGTTGCGGCGTGCAGCCCAATCCCATAAATATCCTCACAAATCAGGCTCTCGGCCTCACTTAGTCATAAACCTCTCAAGCCACTCGCGCTCTCAGTAAAAACAGGGTACTCAGCCCAAAATAACATTTATATGCATCAAAATAGAGTAATAACAACTAAGTTATGAAATCAATAAGTATAACATGACTGAGTATAGATTTTCAATCAAAAACCGTGAGAGGATAGTAAGAAAAAGGCCCCTAAGAGTCCAAACAGCTCTGGCACAAGGCCCAAACATGGCATTCAGCCCAATTTATAGAAACTCTTTCTAAAACACATAAGTACATATAGTTTCAACCAAATACGCAACTTTATAGTTGCTACGGGACGGACCAAATCACAATCCCCATCGGTGCACGCCCACATGCCCGTCACCTAGCATGTGCGACACCTCAAAATAACAAAAAATGATACGAAGTCTGGGGTTTCATACCCTCGGGACTAGACTTACAATCGTTACTTACCTCAACCTGTCAAATCTCTACTCCGCGATGCTCTTACCCCTCGACTCGGCCTCCAATTGCTCCGAATCTATTCACAACCAGAACAATACCATCAATATGCGCTAATGGAATGAATTCCACAAGAAAAACTATCAAATAGACACAAATCTGGAAATCCACTCAAACCCGGCCCCCGGACCC